GAAACAACCCACTGTTAGAAAGCTGAATGGCTACGCTTTAAAATGAATGTAAACTTTAACGTTTTCGTCTATTATTTGTTTAGCAATTTACATTTCAGTCGAGGATTGCGCTTTTTTTGATACACCCTGTAGTGTTGTATAGTGTCGTATAGTCTTGTATAACGTTGTATAGTGTCGTACAGTGTCGCATAGCCTTATATATTGTTGTATACTCTTGTATGGTGGCGTATAGTCTTGTATACTGTTGTATAATGTTGCATTTAGTGTCATATAGCCTTATATAGTTGCAGTGTTTTATAGTCTTGTATAACATTGTATAGTGTTGTATAGCCTTATATAGTGTTGTATAGTTTTGCATAACATTGTATAGTGTCGCATAGTCCTATATATTATTGTATAGCGTTGTATAGTCAGATCTTGTATAATTAACATTGTATAGTATTGTATAGCCTTATATAGTGTCATATAGTTGCATAACGTTTAAAAAAAAAAAGAAAGATCTGAAAAGATCGCCTATATAAAAAGGCTCTCAAATCTCACAAACCTAAACACTGGGATGAGTTCAAGAAAGAACGGAACTTAGTCTCTCGTCTCGTCAAACAATCTCACAGTAGTTATCTGAATGACGTTATTGGCGCAAGCTTAGATACTAATCCAAAGAAATTCTGGTCGTATGTACGTACAAGTAAATCTGAAAGCTCTGGAATACCTCCTTTAAAATTCAACGACAAATTATGTGTTTCTGATAAATCAAAAGCTGACGCCCTTAATTCCCAGTTCCATTCAGTATTCACCCGTGAGAATGCTCCAATTCCAAATAAAGGTCAATCTCCATACACCTCCATCTCAGATTTGATCATCAACTCCCAAGGTGTAGCCAAGCAACTCTCTGAACTTGACCCCAGTAAGGCCTGTGGTCCTGATGAAATCCCAGCTAGAATCCTTAAAGAACTTTCTCCATCAATTTCGCACTGGCTTTGTTTCATTTTCCAACAATCCTATGATTCTGGTACACTTCCACCTGACTGGTCAAAGGCCCTTGTTTCTGTTGTTTTTAAAAAGGACTTACAATCCAACCCAGCCAACTACCGTCCAATCTCTCTGACGTGTCTGTGTTGCAAAGTCATGGAACATATCATTCTTAGCCATGTTTCAAAGCACTTAGCATATCATGATATTCTAATTAATGAACAACACGGATTTCGCAAACTATTTTCGTGTGAGACTCAACTAATTACAGCAATCAACGATTGGGCAAAAAGTATCAACCAGAAGAAACAAACCGATGTGATTCTCTTAGATTTCAGTAAAGCCTTTGATTCTGTTCCTCATCTTCGTCTGATGTCCAAATTAGACCATTATGGTATTAGAGGACTTTCCGCCAATTGGATCAAGGCTTTTCTTTCCAATCGCTCTCAAGTTGTCTCGGTTAATGGCTCCCACTCTCACCCTCAACCTGTCATATCTGGAGTACCTCAAGGAACAATTCTCGCACCTGTCTTATTTCTTCTCTATATAAACGATATTTCTGAGAATATTAAATCCCAAATTCGCTTGTTTGCTGACGATGGAATCATTTATAGAGAAATTAATAACGATCAGGACCACGTCACGTTACAAGAGGATTTAGACAATCTAAATAATTGGGCTAACAAGTGGCAACTAAATTTCAATTTCTCAAAATGCTACCACCTAGGAATTACAAATAAACGTGTCCCTGAAACATATAGCTATATGATGAATAATCAAATCATTAGCAGAGTATCTTCTACCAAATACCTGGGCATTACTATAAACCACAACTTGAACTGGAACAAACATTGTGTCATCATATGTAGTAAGGCAAATAGCACTCTTGGCTTACTTAGAAGAATCCTTGGTGAATGTAGCGCTGCTGTTAAGTCAAGAGCGTATACTAGTCTTGTCCGTCCACAACTTGAGTATGCTTCTACAGTCTGGAACCCTTACACCAAGAGGAACATCAACAAGATCGAGATGGTTCAACGCAGAGCTGCTAGATTTGTCTTCAATGACTATTCCAGAGCTAGCCACGTCTCTCCAATGATCGACCATCTGGGTTGGGACAATCTCCAACAACGGCGACTGCTACACCAAGCCACTATGTTCTACGAGATCCATCAAGGCCTTGTTGGAATCAGTCTTCCTGATGACGTGTGTCCTTTGACTAGAGCATCCAGGCTGCCTAATATATGTCCTTACCGCCAAATTCAGTCGTGTGTCAATGTATATAAGTTTTCATTTTATCCAAGAACAATTGTTACCTGGAATCACATCCCATTTAACAATCTTTGCCAATCAACCCCAAGTTTCAAAACACTTGCCATGCCTTCAATTAAGTCACTTAATGTAGCTAATTAGTATCGTTTTGAATCGTTTGTATTGTACTATATGTTCGTTTTGTAGTCTTAGAGTTGTTGTCGTTGTTGTTATTGTCGTTTGTCACTTTTGCCATTGTTGTTGTTAATAACATATAACAACATCATTCTATAATCACCGCCTAATATATGTGTCATACAGTGATTATGAAGACTAATTTCTTGTAAATAAATATAAATATTATCTAGTTTTTCAGTATATATAACTCCTCCTAGTATAATATAATACTGTTTTAGGAGTATTTCATTAAAGCATTAAAGCATGTGAGCTCGAGGCTCGAAATGAGCTAACCGAACCGGAAATACGACTAAAAATACGTCAAAACAATGCGATGTTTTTGACAAAAAGCGCGTGCACTATTTATGTACGAAAAGTATATAAGCACGAGAAGTCGTGAGAGAACACATGTTTATGGGAGGGGGAGAGAAAATATACTCGCTATATACTTATCGCGGCATATCCCTGATAAAATATAATTGAAACCAAATCTGCCAAATCAGCGGCACAGGCTATCGGGCATTACCTGTACAATAAGCGACTGTAAACAGTGTGATTTAGACCTAAATGCTTTCTGCCAAACGTACAGCTTTAGCTAAGGTAGTTTTATAGGCCTAGGCTTGTTTACGTGAAGAAATAAACGCTTTTGACGAGCTCTTTGGTTATTTATTGAACTACATGACTCGACGTTGATAACATAACATACGCGGTTATTCGGATCAAATAGGGGTTACGAAAAAATTCGTCAAAAATTCAATTCTAATTTGCCCCAAAATTTTATTTGATCAATAGCAAGCGAAAACATATTTCTTTGACCTGGTTAGGAATTTTTTGTCTGAATCGATGTAACAATGCAGATATTTGCTGCCTAATATGGCATAAAATAAAGAGGTTAAAAATATTCTATAATATTCTATAAATCTGTAAAATATTCACTTTTCACAGAAATGTCTCTAAATTTCGTCTGCTAGTCAATAAATTACTCTAATTTATAAAACGAAATCATACTTGGTGAAATATTCTCACTATCGTGCAAATTAGAGCGATTTTGGTAGTGCCGTAAAATGACCTCTAAAAACCAAAAGTGGCCTGGGAAAACCAATTTCGACGTCTCTCTCCTTTAATATTTATCCGATCGCAATAAAACTTTCACAACATTAATACTTCATATAGGCCTACATTCTGACAAAGTTTGAAGGATTTTGAATTTTCTCCGCTCGTAGGGGGGATAATGAGGGATACACGAGGATTCAAGCTGGGAGGCGGCGAGCGGGAAGAACCTCTGGAACACTTCTATGGCTTTTCAGATCGAACCGCAGTGATCCATCACAGTGTTGGTTAACGGCAGGGACTTGTTAAAACAATGACTTTCATTGGCTGTTTGAACCGTATGTCCTTCAAGATATTATCGTTCAGAATCCGTACAGGCATACGATGTTGTTTAATATAATATTATATTTATAACATAGTCAGGCGTAAATATATATGCCTCGAGTCTTGCGAGAGGATTTCAACAAGTCGGTCGCGGTTGATTCGATTTTGAATTTTTTTACTGGACGGTGTTACAAAACTCAATAAACATCAAGATGATGCCTTGTTTCTGTGTTTCAGTTAATGCATCGCCGTGATATGTTTGCTATATTGCTCAGAGAGTTTTCGTCAATTTTAAACGAAAAAAACAGAGAATTGGAGAAACGAGATAATATTATTAATAGTCTTCAAGAAAAATTAATCAAGGTTGAAAGCGAATATCAAAATGTTGAATCCCTAGTTGCAGAACGCCATGAACAAGAACAATGCCAACACAATAGAAATTATAATTGGCTTATTCATAATGAGAGCAGAAGCAATTTACCTAATACTCAGGCGGATGATTCCACTATAAATATGCAAAATCAAGAAAATAGTGAAAATTTACATCTGGTCAATAACAAAGAAATTGTCCAAATTAAAACTTTTTCTGATAAGGATCAATCGCCCCCTACACGAAAGGTTAAATCCGGACTTAAAGATTCGGTCGAGCTGAAACTACAACCTGTGCCACACGAACCACCTACCTCTAGATCTAATGAACGCTCTCAACAGGTTTTTCTGCCCTTAATGAGTAGCATACCTACAGGTCTGCTACAGTTGAGTAAACAACAGCCGCAAAGTTCCTATAAGGACATAGCTAACAGCGCACCTGAAGATACTGGTGAAGGGAAAATGCAATCTAAAGCTACTAAGGACGATCGAATGTTATTTCCACCTTTCAAACTCAGCTCACACCAACCGCAACCACGACGTCCACAACCGCATATAAATTATTCTCGGACTCGCCCTCGTACTAGACCAGCTCAAACACGAGACCGGCATAATTCCCGGGCTACTACCCCACAATGGCACCTCAGACAAAATACTCCCCTTGTTTCGGTGAATAGGCAGGCAAATTTTCGGAAGAGCCGCTTAAAGCACAGACCCCCTGGCTGGAAAGAATTTCTTGTCTTAGTCAGCCAAATAACCAGGACGCAATAACGAAGTTGAATAAGATCCCTGTGAGAATTACATCTAATCGAACACGTAATTGTATATCAAGGCACAATGTCCCTAATTCACGCACAAATAACTCTAATCTAATTGAAATAATACCTGAAATGAACGCATCTGGTCAAAATAAGCATACAACTACGTCCAAGAATCAGTTCTATCGCAGCCAATAAATGTGGTCTTCAAAAATCGAAAATTAATATTGCACATTTAAATATTTGCTCTCTAAAAAAGAGGGAACATTTAATTCAGATAAGACTTTTGATGCAGGAAAATAAGTTTGATGTACTTGCCGTGTCGGAATCTTGGCTTACGGCCAGTGTGAGAAATGAAGAGGTTGAAATTTTCGGATACAGTCTATCTAGATTGGACCGGCGAGGGAGATCCGGTGGGGGTGTGTGTGCCTATATCAAGAGCTCGTTGAAAAAAAAGGTGCTTAGGGATTTAACAGAAATTTCAGAATCTGGTTTTCATCAGTTATGGTTACAAATTCAGCATAAAAAATTGAAATCTTTTCTATTATGCGTTTGTTACCGACCTCCAGATAGTCCTGTATCTTGTTTTACCAATAATTTTATGGATAATTATATCAAAGCACTCACTTTTGGTAAAGATATCATAATTGCTGGAGACTTAAATTGCGACTTGTTAAAGACAGCTCAAGAGGCAAAGGTTTTGAATGATTTTTGTCACTGTTTAAATTTGACACAGTTAATTGATAAACCGACGAGGGTCACGTCACGTTCGTCAACGCTTATTGATGTCATGATGACTTCAAATAAAGATTTGATTGCAGAAAGTGGAGTGCTTGAAACCTACATTAGTGATCATTTTCTGGTTTACTGTTCACTCAAACTAAAGTTGATAAAACCGCTGTTTAAAACCGATATCACTGCAAGGAGTTATAAGCATTACGACCGAAACCAATTCCTCTGTGATTTGGCATGTATTCCGTGGCATGAGAATTTATTTGTTGAAAATGTAAATGATAAACTGTCGCATTTTGATAGTAATTTTCAAAATGCATTGACTAGGAATGCACTAATTAAGACAATGAAAATAAGACATCGACAAGTACCATTTGTTGACGATGAGATCAAAGAACTGATGAAAAATAGAAATAGTTACACAAATTTGCTCGTCTAACCCGAATGCCAGCTGATTGGGAGAAATATTGTGCGCTTCGAGATAAAGTTAAATGTAAGCTACGCCAAGCAGAAAAAAGATTATGTACACAATAAAATATATAATAACCCAAATATAGCATCGATGTCGAAAGTCATCAGGAGCTGCGTTCCTCGTAAAGAGACCACGAAACCAAGTTATTCCGGAGATGTTAAGAAATTAGCTAATGAATTCAATACCTTTTTTACCTCAGTGGGGATAAATACATCAGCAACTGCATTGGCATTGCTTACTGAAGATGGACTACCCATCCTGAATCCACCAACATCTACCGAAATACCTGAGATCGATCAGTTTTATTTCCATTCAGTATCGTGTAGTGAAATAAGTATAGGTTATTTTGAGGCAACGAGGGGATATGTGATTTATTCACCGAAGCGCGTAGCGTCGAGGTGAATAAACACATATCCCCGAGGTGCCTCAAAATAACGTACTTATTTTTCACACTGCGAGGTTGCATTAATGAGTAAGAATAGAAATAATTCTTAATGTCATATTGCCTTCGTTATGTTGTTTTTTTCTCATTTTTTTGTGATGCAAAGACATTGCAGGTGAATATTAGAGGGGATTATTAATTGCAGGTGAATATTAGAGGGGATTATTAAACGGAAATTGATTAGAGGGGAATATTGAATATATTCCCGGATAAGAACAAAGGAAACCGAGCAGGGTGAAAAATAAGTAGGGTTGTTATGTCCTTTTCATCAAATAAGGCACCAGGATTTAACAAAGTATCAATGGCTGTGATCAAGGACGCCTTACCGTACATCCTTCCTACACTTACGCAAATTGTTAACTGTTCCCTGGAAAGGCAGCCTGGAAGAAAGCAGAGGTTATCCCACTTCTGAAGGAAGGAGATTATGAAATTCCGAATAATAATCGGCCCGTGTCGTTGTTAGTGGCTGCATCTAAGATCTGTGAACGCGTGCATGGTACTCGGAAACAGTTAACAGAGTATATGCATGACAAAGAGGAAAAAATTTACTAAACATCAAAGTGGAAATAGGAAGTTACATTCAACCGAAACATTAAACATATTCATCTCAGATTTAATTCTCCAGTCCATGGATCGTAGAGAAGTGACTGCTTTACTCTTACTGGACTTGTCTAAAGCTTTTGATAGCTTAGATCATTTCATTCTGCTAAGAAAACTTTCGAATATTGGAATCTCGAAGCCTGCGTTGTTTTGGTTTAAAAGCTATTTGACAGGCAGGTGCCAATCAGTACGTATTGCGTCAGTGTTATCTGATGAATGTGAAATAACTCGCGGTGTTCCGCAGGGATCGATACTGGGTCCGGTGTTATTTAATATATATATATATCAACGACTTGCCTGGTGTACCAAACGAGTCCAATTTGGAGTCGTATGTGGATGACTCAAAAATATATTTAGCATTCTCAATCAGGGATGCCGAGTTGGCAGCTATGAAACTCACAGAAGACATGCGAAGAATTACCGCCTGGCGCTGTCTTAACAGTTTGTTGGTGAATCCAGAAAAAACTAAGATGCTTATATTAGGTACTAGGCAAATGTTAGAACAGGTACCTGAAAATTTTCAAATAACTATCCTTAGTGAGAATATTACCCCAGTTGCTGTTGCAAAGGATTTAGGGATGATATTGGACTCATGTTTGAGCTACGACGAACATATCGCAAGCGTTGTTTCATCTTGTATCGCGGGATTGGGCCAAATTAGCAGAGTTAAACATATCTTTGACAGAAAAACATTAATTCTTATTATAAATTCCCTGATTTTTAGCAAAATGTATTACTGCTCTGCTGTCTGGTCTAATACATCCCAAAGAAATATCGAGAAGCTTCAAGCGGTCCAGAACTTTGCTGCACGTATTGTTACAGGAGCAAGAAAATACGATCACGTGATTCCTGTTTTGCAACAACTGGGCTGGCTTCCAGTTAAGTACATGTTAAAATTAACAGAAGCCATTTTTGCTTTCAAATGCTTGAAGGGGTTGGCACAATGGTATTTGTGTGAGAAGTTCCATGTCAGGTCAGATGTTCATGGCGTTAACACAAGGCAAAAGAACATTTTGGATATACCAATGTACAGATCAGCTGCGGGTCAACGAACATTTCACTATAGGGCTGTGTCCTTGTGGAATTCTCTGCCTCAGTCTCTTAAAAACATTGATACTTTGACTCATTTTAAAGTAGAATACAAAAGTATGTTATTAGAAGAATTTTTAACTGAAAGTGGTGTTTAACAGATTTATAGAATATTTTAGAACTATAGCCTATGTAAACCTTAGGTCAAAACTCAAAATTCATTTTTAGATACTTTTCTAGATATAGAATTTCATATTTGTAATTAGATCCTGAAAAGCCCAATTGGGAGTATCTAATATTGTATAATAATAATAATAATAATAATAATAATAATAATAATAATAATAATAATAATAATAATAATAATAATAATAATAATAATAATAATAATAATAATAATAATAATAATAATGAAAACTTTATTAATAGAACATTTATAGATATATACAATTGTAAATCTCACTTCTTGAGGTAACCTACAATTGACTACTTGAATCACTTATACGTGGTTATAGTTTTATATACAAAAATTGTTAATTATTTATAGAAATAGTATTTCTACAGCAAAATATGTAGTACGTTGATCGGATGGCAATAGATATCATTTTTCTGATACAATATTGTTGGTGTTGATTATCCAGTCCTAACTCATTTAGCATTTTTACGAATGTATGGCATAATAATAACAATAATAATAATAATAATATTAATAATAATCAGTAGGGGTCCTAGAATACTTCCTTGCGGTACGCCTACGGTTACTGATTTTGGAGTTGACGTGAAGTTGTTGATCGATGTAACGACTGTACGTGAAGATAAATAAGATGTGAACCAGTTTATAACAGCTGCTGAAAATCCAGTATTTTTTAATTTAGCAATTAGTAGGTGGATCAACTGTGTTGTATCACATGATGTGTGTATCACATGATGGTTATATGCCGTATGTTTCCTGCACAAATTTGTTTCTCGTTCATCATTTAAGACCAATCACAAACTTATAAATAACCAACATGAAAATGAGGCCATTGGGTCAAAAGTGGATAAACAGCATTAATAAGGTCTATTAACCCATTAGCTAACTCTGTTTAATTAACGCCAGACAAATTTACACTGCATGTGTAACGCCAGACGATTTTACTTATCAGTGGTAGAGTACTGTCAGTAAATGGGTTAACAAACCTATCCGCCAATGTCTCTTACTAACAACCCATTAGCTGGCAATGCGCCCTACCTTAGTATTTACTGTCTATCAACGCCAGACAATTTTACTCACCAGTAGGTAGAGTACTGCCAGTAAATGGGTTGTGATTTCTCGTCACGTCCCAATTTAAAATTTTACATTTTTACGATTTTTATTGTTTCTAATCCTGTATTTACTCACCGTTTGGCCAAACATTCTTTATTTCATATCGAGAAAAAAATTTGAATATGTTCTAAACTCTTCAGAATTTGCTCAGAGTCATGTGAGTAAAATACTCCTTGTATTCAAGTGCTTTCGTGTAGAAAGTTTTGTTTGAATACGGCAGAGTAAAAATATTTATTTTGAATTTTTCAAAATATCGAGTTTTTACTCGCACGCTTGCGCCACGTGTATGCTTGGCCATATATAGCCCTATGCACGTGCAAACACTGGGAGTACTTTAATCTGTAGAATTTATTTCCGGTTTTTCCAGACCCCTAGGATGTAAACAGCGCTTTGTTTTGATGGACGTTTCTTTCACCGGCCGCGCTAAAAATTTGTAAATACAGAAATAAAAGATGAAAATCTGAAGACACAAGCTTGAAAATAACACTCTAAATAGTGTTTTGGATTCTGCTTCGAATGAGACTATTACGAAAAATATATGTCCAAAGGGGCCGAAGTTATGTCGGCGAAATGTATCACAAGTTTACATTGTTCGTTATATAATGAAATATGATACCATACCTTACACGTTAAAATTCGCATCGTACTATTATTGTATTAGGCAAATGTCGAGAACCATACAATAAATGTTTTAGTTCTTGTTGGTATTTTGAATGCACGCTTTATCTTTACTACCACAAAGGTTTGCGCGCCGATTATATTTCGGGCAGTACTAAAATTTGCGCAACCAGCGCTGCGCTTATACAGTAGTACTGCGCGAATTTTAATACTGTAAGGTATATTGTGGACATTTGACTAAAATTATAATTTAATACAATACTCGACTTTGAATAAACAATAGTTTATAAATTCTTAAACTCTTTCATATACATAGTAGCCAGAGATTTGTAATAGGTATAGCCATAAATAAGGTAGCCATAGACATAGTAGTCCTCATAGCAGAGATATTAACCCTGTTTCCCTCGATATTCGCAATTTTATTAAACCGCTTCATCACATCGATAAATAGACACTGAATATATAAACTAAACTCACAGATATTATTACTTTATGTACTGAACATTTCCGGTAAAACACTTTAAAGACACATCTTTGAGTAGCCTGCTCGCAGCATTGAAGAAAATTTTGTTGAACAACCCCCTCATTTTACAAACGAACTTGAAAGACACATCGTTGAGTAGCCTGCTCGCAACATTCATGCAAATTTTGTTGACTGACTTGACTTTGAACAAACGGTTGAATTCTCAAATGCTTTCATATACATTATTTATAGCCACTAGACTAGACATAGTTGATAGTTAGTTGTCTTTATAGCAGCCAAAGAGAGATATTGAAGACAAATTATGGTGTATTTATAATGACAATACTGACTCGACTTTTAACAAATAGCAGTTAAATTTTCAAACTCGTAAATATACATAATAGCCAGAGATTCTATATAGCACAGGTATAGCCATATAAAGTAGGTGGCCAATAGCCATAGACTGATAGACATAGTAGTCTTCATAGCGGAGATACGAACCCTTCACG